ATGGTATTCCCACCTAGTCATATATTTGTATGTGATAATGGTGTATCACCAATACCTGTAGATGATAATCAATGGGCTACTCAACAGGTACATCCTGATATTAACTATTTATATGTACCTGAGGGTAATAAGACATTTGCCTTTTATTGGTGTAATAAATATTGGATACCTTATCTTGTCCAAAATGGTAGAGTAACCGACTTCAAATATGCTGTTATTATTGATGATGATGTACCTCTACCACCAGATCTACATATACCACATCAACTATTGGATCAGAACCCCAATATTAAGGCTGTACATTTTCCTATTACTGCTACTACACCTGATGGTAAACCTAATCTATTGGTACAATGCCAGGATATTGAGTATAAGATTGCTGGTCTCCATAAACTATTCCAGGCTACTCTTGCTCGTTCATTAAGTTGTCATGGTGCTGTAGCCTTATGGGATAGGGAAACACTTGATGAGATATTCTATGAGCATGATACTGTATTTAATGGTGAGGATATGTATATGGGTCTATCATTATTGAGGAAGAGAGATGACTCTAAGATTATATCATCAGCTCAGGCTATTGTACCAACCTATGCACCTGATAATTGGGGTATGCTATTTAGACAACGGGTTAAGTCTTGGGATGTGACATCTCATAAAAAGAGTTTTACCTATATATGGGAGATTATTAATCCTAGAGGTTGGTGTCATCTCGCCAGTTGGGTATTGAAACCATACTTCCTACAGGAGGTAATATTACCACATATATAATCATCATCATAATCCTGTAGTCGCGCTCTTCATCAGTTACTAACGATCGTATTAGATTGGCTACGTATATTCCTATTATGTGGCCTTATAATACGTGATTGGGTTAGTTTCCTATTTATGTTTGTTATATTCACAGGCCTTATGTAATAATGTAACCCTATGTATCCTTATAATATTATTATCAGATACGTTATGGTAGTCCTATTTGAGATCGTCATATTAAGGGATCGGCATGATCTTCGTTCCTCGTTCTGTGCTTGTATTACCTTCCCATGGTATCGTTTATCATCATTAATATTCCGTGTTGGTGCATTACTACAGAATCTATTAGTATACTCTCATATTAGGAAGGGTATCAAGATACGTGAGTATAATAATAGTGGTGACGATGTTAAGGAGGTATTATTAGTACTATTCAGGTGTACGTGAAGACGAGATTAGAGATATACCACCATGCCCACCATCACCAGATGTTGATTGGTTTACGGTATGGACTGGAGAGGTAGTACCTGAGGATGAACAACAACAACAACAACAACCAGTGGAGTCAATACCTGAGGAAGAAGAAGAGGATGATGATAGTGGAAGATCTACTACACCCGTGGACGTAGTAATCCCACCCCCAGGCCACCAACGGTAGAGTTGTTGTTGATCCTATTCCCAACAATGCCCCCCTTATACTACTACTACATCTTGTAGTGGATAATGATCCTAATAATACAAAGGTGTGTTATTATTATTATGAAAAGCAACAGCAACAACAACCACAGCTGTTCCTCCTCCTCCTCATCGTCGTCGTCTACTATTGTTAATAGTTCCTACTACTACTATCACTATCGTTACTACTACTATACTATTGTGAGTAGGTAGAGATGATTATTCTAGAAGGTATTTGAGTA